GCAATACCTAAAGCTATTTCTTCCCAAAATTCCTTACACTCACAAGGCCTTTCTCTATTGGTAGGAGCTCTATGTTTAGTGAGGATTGAGGAATCACTAAAGGCTTTTGCCCAATGCTTCCAGTGAAGATCTCCCTCCACAGCGAGTTCTTCCATGTCTAATGAGGCCTGAGGCCTGAGTAAAGCCTTTCCCACATTCCTTACATGCATAAGGCCTCTCCCCACTGTGAGTTCGCATATGTTTAGTGAGGGATGAGGAACGAATAAAGCCTTTCCCACATTCCTTACATTCATAAGGCCTCTCTCTACTGTGAGTTTTTCTGTGTTCAGTAAGGGATGAGGAATACCTAAAGGTTTTCCCACATTCCATACATTCATAAGGCCTCTCACTACTGTGAGTTTTTCTATGTTCAGTAAGGGATGAGGAATAACTAAAGGCTTTCCCACATTCCTTACATTCATAAGGCCTCTCCCCACTGTGACATCGCATATGTTTAGTGAGGTATGAAGATTGAGTAAAGCTTTTCCGACATTCCTTACATTCATAAGGCCTCTCTCCACTGTGAGTTCTTACATGGACAGTGAGATTTGAGGCGTTATTAAAACCTTTCCCACATTTCTTACATTGATAAGGCTTCTTCCCACTGTGGGTTCCAATATGTACCCTGAGGGATGAGGAATGATTAAAGGCTTTCCCACATTCTTTACATTCATAAGGCCTCTCCCCACTGTGAGTCTGCATATGAGCTGTGAGAGATGAGGCCCGAATAAAGCCTTTCCCACATTCCTTACATACATAAGGCCTCTCTCCACTGTGAGTTCTTACATGGATAATGAGTTGTGAAGAACTACTAAAACGTTTCCCACATTCCTTACATTCATAAGGCTTCTCACCACTGTGAGTCCTACTATGTACAATGAGGTTTGAGGTCTGATTAAATGCTTTCCCACATTCCTTACATTCAAAAGGCCTCTCTCCACTGTGAGTCCTTTTATGTACAATGAGGCCTAAGGCTTGAGTATAGGATTTCCCACATTCCTTACATTCATAAGGCCTTTCCCCGCTGTGAGTTCTTATATGGACAATGAGATGTGAGACACGACTGAAAGCTCTCCCACATCGCTTACATTTATAAGGCCTCTCACCACTGTGAGTTATTTTATGTTTAGTAAGGGATGAGGAACAACTAAAGGTTTTCCAACACTGTGTACATTTATAAGGCCGCTCCCCACTGTGAATTCTTATATGGACAGTGAGATGTGAGAGACGACTAAAACCTTTCCCACATTCCTTACATACATAAGGCCACTCCCCACTGTGAGTTCTTCTATGTGTAGTAAGGGATGAGGAATAACTAAAGGCTATCCCACATCGCTTACATTCATAAGGTCTCTCCCCACTGTGAGTTCTTCTATGTGAATTAAGGGATGAGGAACAACTAAAGGCTTTTCCACACTCTGTACACTTATAAGGCCTCTCACCACTGTGAGTTCTTCTATGTTTAGTAAGGGATGAGGAACAACTAAAGGCTTTCCCACATTGCTTACACTCATAGGGCCTCTCTCCTCTGTGAGTTCTTACATGGACAGTGAGATGTGATGTACGACTAAAACCTTTCCCACATTCCTTACATTCATAAAGCCTCTCCCCAGTCTGAGACTGCATATATCTACTGAGGGATGAGGCATCATTTGTATGTTCACTGAGGTAAGAAGAATGACTCAAGCCTTTCCCAAAGTCCCTACTTATATCATGAATTCTTTCATGTGTGATGAGGTTTGAGACACACCTAAATGCTTTTCCACACTGTGGACATTCATAACGCCTTTCCACACATTGAGTTTGCATATGTCTGGTGAGGGATGAAGAAAAAGAAAAAGCTCTCCCACATTCCTTACCTACAAAATGTTTATCTCTGTGATGAAATTTTTTATGTGAAATGAGGGATGAAGGATGACTGGAGTCTTTACAATGTGGTTTACATTCACGTTCATGACCTCTTACATGCGTCCAAAAGGACGACAAACTGCAGGGATCTTTCCCACATTCGTGACCTTCACAGTGCTCCTCACCAGTCAGTGCAGTCACAGGATCCTTAAGGGTTGATGTACAGATCAAGTCATTCCTACATATCATACATCTATGGGGCTTCATTCCATGAAGAGTTCTCATAGGAGTGGTTAGTTGGGAGGGACAACCTTCCTCACACCAACAGGAATTACACCCAGTGGGAGATCGGGCAGGATCCTCATGGGATGAGTGACGCATGAAGGCTTTTCTACATTCAGAGTGTTCCAAAGACTTCACTTCTGGAAGATTTCTTGGTAACACAGGCAGATTTGGAATATAGCTGGAAGTTTTCTTACACAGATCACCTTCATGACTTTCACAGAGGTTCTCTATTGTACGACTTCTTTTAAAAACAGGCAATATGCTGTTGGAAATAAATTGGTTCCCATTTCACAATCATCAAATACAGTCTATATACAGCTTGTGCCTAGACTTGTCTAATGTTTCATACGTTAAACATTCTTATAGAAATACTAGCATTATGGTCATTGTTTTTCTAAAACACATTTTCGGATCGTATCCAAATGAAGTATGTTTGAAATAACAGAAATCTGATTACATTTTGAAAACATTGTATGGTGAAAATTCTCTAAATCTGTAATTTCTCAGCCACTTAATATGCACACATATTACATATAAATAAATATGTCTTCGGGTTTTGAGTAGATTCGTAATGGTTCTGCATTTGGACATATAAGCAATAGCAGCTTACAAATTGCATAGAAACCAAATCAGATACCCTTCAGATTTTGATGTGAGTAGCAAACAAGCAAGGTTTGTTGGCGCAGTGCCTGAGGCATTTCAGTACTAATCACCAGGTTGGTGGTTCAAAGCTACCAGCAACTCTGTGGAAGGAAGACTGGGCAATCTACTTCCGTAAAGATTTACCACCTCAGAACCCAGTGGAGGCTGCTGAGTCCTACTCCACTCAATGTCAGTAGGTTTGGTTTTGGTTTTGGTACGAAACAAATAGCCTGGCCACACTCAAACATGGCTGACAATTGTGCAGCTTTGAATGTGTGTGACTCGCCATAATACTTCCAATAATCCAATCTGTAACACATATGCCAAAAGTTTCAGGAGCTTGATGAGGGCTATTAGATTATTGCAAAGATGGTGGGGAGTGATACACATTCAAATGAGGAGAGCTAGCTTCCATGTTTGTTTCCTGCTCCGGTCAAAATCTAATGAGCAACTGATGTGGCTGACAATGTATATACAACCTTTGTTTACGCCAAGAGTTACTGAAGCATTGCTAAATGGTTCAAAGCCCTGTTATATAGACGCAGACATATATGTATGTGCTCATATTAATATCACCGCACCATAGGACTCTCCTGAGGCATTCCTCTCGCTTATTTGAAGGACTCTCACCTCAAATGTTTCTCCTGGTTGGTAGATTGCTCTTTATTGCTATATAATTTGGAGAATTCTCCCAATATGGAGAACCAGTTGTTATTCTTCATTAATTGTAGCATGGTATCATCACTGGAAAACTTTTCTCCGTAAGTTATGCTTCGAGAGGCTGGGCCAATCATTCAAGTTGAAGATCACAACATGAACAAAAAGGAAGGAATTATTAGGGAAAGAAGGGGGTTGCTGTGAACAAAAACAGACTTAACTACTTTGACCCTTTCAACACTTTGGAAGTGGTTGTAAAGCAAGTTAGCAGCAAATACTTCTGTCACAAGTGAGAGGGATGTTGACACAAGTATGTGCTATCAGGACACATTAAGTAGAAAGTCACTGGACATGGTACACATGTAACATTACAACAGGAAAAGGGTCTCCAGGACATGAAGTGTGAGAGCACAGCTCAGGTCACAAAAGTAAACTCAGGTATCTATTAACGTGTGTCCTCAACCCAAAGCCGACTTCTCTTCTTCTGGCAGATGGATTCAAATGGAACTCCCTCCACGCAGGGCTGGTCCTTCAAACAATTATGGTTTTCCTAGTGCTTGCCGACACAATGGCCCTGGGGGTGTCCTATCTCCACTGCTCCCAGATCTTTCTTCCCTTCATTCATTTGGAAACAAATGGAAAGAGCTGACGCGCTGCTCACAGAGAAATGTGTCTCATGAGGGAAGACCGTGAGGAGCCGGGAACATTTCCTACTCATGAGACAACACTCTGCCCTTCAGGGTGTCTGAAGATAGTGTGAGTTTTTCACAGCAAAGGCATTAAGTCAAACATGAAGTTAATATGGTGAAACTCACTGTAAGGTCCCCAATCACAAATCTCAGTGCTGCAAAGAGACCCCTGAAGCCAAAGCTTGTCCTTACAATAATACTAAGAGGGCCTCTGGACTTTTAATCACAAGAGAAATAAAAACTTCACTTGAATGCACACATCTTTTTGTTTATAATGAGCTCTGGTGGCATAGAAGGGCGCTCTGGTGGCACAGTGCTGAAGTTATCTCACTGCTAACCAGAAGGCTGGAGGTTCAAACCCACCAGAGACTCCTAAGAAGGAAAAACGGGCAATTTACTTCCACAGAGATAGCGCCCCAGATATCCAAGAGGGGTCACTATTAGTTGGAATTCACTCGATGACAGTGGGTTTGGTGGTTTTTTTTTTTGTTTGTTTTTTTAATTGGTGGCACAGTGGATAAGGAATTTAATTGCTAACCAGAAGGTTGGCAGTCCAAACCAACCAGCTGCTCCACGGGAGGAACATAGGGTAATCTACTTCCATAAAGACTTAGTACCTTGGAAACCCAGTGGGGGTTATTATGTATTGGAATCAGGGCCTTTTTTGTTGTTTGTCTGTTATGTTCATGGAAAGCCTGGCTATGTGTACTCCATAGACTAAGGGACCATACCTGTTTTATTTAAAAATTTATTCCCATTCCTGAGCCCCAACACTGGAGGAAAGTCAATGACTAAAATATTTTTGTTCACTAAAGGAATAATTAAAAAAAAAAAAAAAATCATGCATTCTTACCCACAGAGGCCAGGTTTCTCAAGATTTCCAACATGACATCTCTGTAGAGTTTCCTCTGAGTAAGATCCAGCAAAGCCCACTCTTCCTGAGTAAAGACCACAGCCACATCCTCCATGACCACTGAGTCCTAAAACAGCCAACACATTCTGGATCAGGAAGGTACCAAGGACTCTACTGTGTACAAGAGAAAAGAATGAGGCTAATAGAGAATTGAGCATTCATAGTGACTATTTTCCATCAACCTCATCCCTTCGCTAACTCCATTCACTTCCTCACTGAGTGCTTCCTGCCTGCCAGGCTTCCAACACACTAACATCACCCCACTACTGCTAAACGGCAGTCTCCTTCCTCTCTGGCTCATGGTCTAGACAGTAAGTCAGTGCAGGAAGGCAGTGTTTCTGTTAGCCCCTCCCAGCCACGGGGAAACCAATGACCTGAACAGATGAACTGACAATCCAAGGCCCTGAGATGGTCCTATCTCCTTGAACACTAGGAAGTGACAGGGCCACCT